CTCTCCTACTTTTTCATCTCCCCATTTTTCCTTTCTTTTATTTTAAAATTCCTCACCTGAGGATATTTTTCTATTGATTTTTAGAGAGTGGAAGGGAGGGGAGAGACAGAGAGACAGAGAGACATTGATGCAAGAGACACAACAATTGGTTGCCTCCCACATTTATCCCAACTGGGGCTGGGGATTGAGTCTGCAACTGAGGAGTATGTGCTCTTGACTGGAGTCAAATCTGGGACCCTTCAGTCCATGACCCAGTGCTCTCACCACCAAGCAAAAATGGCCAGGGTTTTCCCTTCATTCTTTAAACCAGCCAGCAACCTTTCAGAGTATTGCCCTGTGTAGTTGCTGGCCCTTGGACAGTGATTTGATGACACATGGGACTGGAAACCAGAGGCTTGCAGTTGCAAGAGCAGGCCCAGAGCATCTTCAAAACTCCACAGAGCTTCCATGGAGCCTTTCTTGGAAGTCCATCCTCACTGCTTCACTCTAATCACGCTGGCAACCATGTGCCCAAAGATTCTTTGGCAACAATGCCATCAAAAGTAAAAGTGTTCTCTTAAACCTGCACTGCAGAGGGAGAAAAATGCACCTTCTTAGAGACAACACATGGCTCTGAGTCCCCTCTCTCCCTCAGAGAAAGCCCAGCTGGAAGGGACACCCTCCTTTCACAGACCCAGGGCCATACTCGGTGGCCAAGCAGCAGTGATGGAGAAGCAGCAAAGATGGTGGGAAGAGCATGACCACTGGGAAGTCACAGAATGGAATCCTGGACATGTTACCTTGGAACAGCGGAACTCAGACATGTTGGTTGAATCTCTTTGAGTCTCAATTTTCCTGTTTGAAAAATGGACTTGATAATTCCTACCTCATGGGCTTATTGTAAGGATGAAATGAAAGTGAAAGAGGCATTTGATAAACATTAGTTGAGTCCAAAAACAGAGGCCCAGATATTGTTCCCAAGATTACTGAGCAAGTTTCCAGCCAAAATTGAATAAGAACCATCCTTGTTTCTGACTCCCAATTTGGCCTCCTCCTCTTCACCCCCTCCACACAGCTCTTCATTTTGTGGAGAACTCACCACCAGTGCTTGCCATTGATCAGAGGAAGACTAACAAGAGAGAGTATGGCCCAAGCAAATTCTGCATTAGGTTCAGAATGGAAACCTCCAAGGGATATTGGTACCACTAGGACAATAAGAATGGGACACTGTTCTCTAGCATCACTGTAAATACAGCTTTCTAAGGAATGACAGTCAGTATTAAGCACCAACATCACCAGGAGACTCCAGGTTAAAGTGAAAGTCCTGCTGTGTTGGGCCTTGGTTATAGAGCAGAGTCAGCACATATATAAACAAACACAGCCACTATCCAGGCCCAGCCATGGCTCCCTCAGGAATCAATCTCAGCCTTCTGTTTTATTAGTCCCTGATAGGCACTCAGCAACCTCCCCTCTCTTGCCAATCAGCTTGCATTGTCATTCACTTAGTGGCCACTAACTGAAGGTCTGGAACCTGCTAGGTGCTAAGGAGTAAGGCAGACACTGTTCTTGACTTATAAAACTTATGCTCTATCATTACAGATGCAATCCAGTTGCCTTCTGAAGCTTCTAACCCTGGCATACCCCTTGCTTAGGATCAGTGTGAGGTCATGGGAAGGGCAGAGGTTTTGAAATCAGGGAAGCCAGTGTCTGATTTTGACTCTGTCACCACAGAGGATACCTGTCAATTTAGTCTCCCCAGTCTTGCATCTCTTCATCTGGTAACAGGACCTTCTTGCAGGAAGGGGCTGCCTCTCCCCAACTCATTTATGTCTGGCCACAGGATTGGGTCTGGGTCAAGCCTGGCCAGTCATGGTATCATTTTACTCCTGGCCAGTGGAGACATGTGGCATGTGACCCAAACCAGGGCAGCAGAACACCAAATAGGATTCATATGTTTGAATTGGGAGAAAGAATATCTCTTTCTTGAGATGATATAAGCCTAGAGCTCTCAGCCACCATGTCCTCATCCACCACCCAAAGGAGTGAAGCTTTCTGCAGGGGGGAGAATGCAGGAGGAGGAGGAAATAGAGGAAAGAAAAGGAGAAAGAGAGAAAGGTGGGGGAGGTTTCACAAACATGACATCATTGGAAGCAATGAAAATTCTACCAAGTCACACCAGCTGATACATTTTCTTTGCCTTAAGCTTTCAGCCTGAGATGGGTGTGGGCAGAGGACAGCACTGGAGGAAGGAATGACCATATTTCTGTAGACAGCAAGAAGAAAAAGCAATTGGCCTCTGAAGAACAATTCTGACTGTCTATTCCTGTAATTACAACGACATTGTTCCTGCTTTATACTCCAATTGTCTTTGTGCCAATAAGCATTTAAAAGGGGACTGAATGTATATCTTGTCACATGTTTCTCTTTGAGTGTAGATCTGCAGTGACTGTGTAGATCTGCAGTGACCTAGCTCTTCTGAGGTTTATTAAGTCCCCACAGGGCCTGGGTTTGTTGCTCCCATAGTTTCCCTCCACTCACTAGCTGTACTATTCACACTTTTATCTTTGTAGGATGCACTGTTTTGCAAAGCACTTTCATTTGCATTATCTCATTGGATTCTCAGGGCATCTATAAAGAAAGCAGGGCCAGGGTTACTGAACCTGCTTGTCAGATTGAAAAACGGAGGCCCAGGCCCTGGGATCTTAGCACAGAAGAGAAGGACATGGGTGGTGCTTGTGCAGTGATCTCACAGGGAACAAATGGGACAGACCTGGAAGGATCCCTGCTATTTGGAGCCAGAAGCCCAGGCTTGAGTCCTAGTTATCTGCCTTTGGGAAAATCACTCAGTCCCTCCCAGTCTCACTTTCTCCATCTGTCAGATATAGGGATGATACTTCCCTTTAAGGATTCTTGTGTCTATCACAGGGACGAAATGGAACAAAGGGTTCTGTGAGCCATAACATGCTGCTCACCTGTCTGGGGGTGATTTTTATGAGTAGTGGGCAACAGTGTGCTGAGTTCAGCTGGTATAGATCCCAAGAGCTATAGAGCCCACCTCCTTTCAACTCATATTCAGTGACATCCTGTTGGTGACTTGATATTCTCAACCATGGTGAGAATATTTACGCCGAGGAAATGAGCAAGTGCTACAAGTCAGAGCTTTGTTTTTCCCAGGGATCGTCGGTTGTTAACTGGCACAGTGATGCTGGGAGGGAAGGAGAGAAGAAGAAAAGGATATTAATATTTAAGGTGGACTGTATGTATTGAGTGCACCCTTATAGCATCCCCTTTAGTCTTCACAACAACTCCTGGGGGCAGATACGAACCCTATTTTATAGATGAGGCCCTTAAAACATTGAGAGACTTCATAACTTGTTCAAGAACACACAATACTAACAGAGCAGACATTCAAAGTCAGGTCTCACATTCTCTTTGATAACCATGCAGCATTCCAAAGATGCATCCATTAGCATCTGTCCTTTCCCGGATCTCCAGCCCAGCCTCAGTGAGATAGTAAATCAGTTTCTAGAACCACTTAAGAGAGAAGATCCCTGTTTGGATGTCAATATCCTAGTACCCAAATAAAACTAGCCTGGAGAAAGATGGGGGTTGCTGTAGTATTATATATTGAACTGGTAATAGGGAATGGGTTGACTGTCTTAGAGGCCCACAGTTCTGGGTCTCAATTGGATAAATGCTTCAGGGTCCCAGAAATTAGGTAACATTATTGGGCTGGGGTCACTTAAAACATTCAGGCATGGAGAGAGAGAAAGTTAAGAGTGCCTGAGCCCAAGTGTCCTCTCTGCTACGTCACCAAGCTGGGGTTCAGCTCCCTCATTTGGAAAAGGGGAAAATATCCACACCCTACCTGTGTCACTTCATTGGGTGTCTGTGGTGCCAGTGGGGGAAGGCCTCTGGTATCTGTCACACTGCACAGATACAAGAGAATCATCATGTGTCTCAGTGAGAACCTCTCCTCTTGTTGCTAAGAGAGTACTGTTTTCCCTTCCTGCCATCTCTGGCTCTATGAACCTCCAGCCCTTTTTCCTTCTATTTTTATACCTCCAGTGCTTCATATGTTGATGTCCTGCATGAGGGTGTTATAAAGGAAGAAAAACATCAAAATGACCTGAACAGGATGGAAATCAGTTTCCTGCTTGGGAAGATTACAGATGGGTGCAGGGGCCAGCATTACCAATGCCAGCCTCTCCCCAGGGGCTGAGAGAAACTTGCCCTGGATCCACCAGGTCACCTCTGCCAGGTCCTAGTCAGGACAGTTTCAGATTAGGGGTGGCAACTACACACACTTCCCCTAAATAGGGAGAGTAAGTACTGATTGGATTGGTGATGGTTACTGATATGCTCTTATCCTAGGAAGGGCAGACCTGTGCTGGATAAAGGAAGAAAAGCCCTATCACTGCTGTTACTTCACGTGTTCAGCTCTGTGCTTATCACATTTGATTCCCATGAAACTGTTCATCTGATTCCCATGTTGCAGATGGAGAAATGGGAGCTCCATCATCGGGCCATTTGCTTGAGGTCTCACAACTGCAAGTGGAGCCCTTTCTCCTATGGCCGCACCCTCGAATGTGGGGAGTGCAGACATGTGTCCCTGGGGCTCTGTACATGCAGTGGAGTGTGTGTGCTGCTGCTGCAAAGCTTCATGTGTGGGCTGACTCCAGCGAGGATGAGGCCCCTGAAAAGCACACTGCAGGCCAAGACTCCTGCAGGCCCCAGCTCAGAGAGGGCTCCCCACTAATAAACCGTCATTGCTTGGCCAGTCCAGACTTCCCTGAGGTACAGACAATTCCAAATGGCGAGGACAGCAAGATGGCTGCAAGTTTTAGGCATCGCTGAGATGGAGCGGGGAGGAAGCCTGGGGGTGGATGCAGACTGAGGTCTCTCACCCCTCGCGTGCTCACACCTGGACCAGGTCCAGCTTCACCACTGCTGCCTGGAGCCTGCATTCTGCGCTAGATAGCGAAATGCTGTGGGGCTCCCCTATTCGGGGGAATGCGGTAGTGATGTAGGTTTGAAAGATGTGGCCTGCAGAGAGCCCGCACTATCTCTGCCGCCGCTACTGCTGCCGCCGCTGCTACTGCTGCTGGCAGAGCTGCTGGGAGTGAAAGTCCCCAGTTCGGGATTCCCAGCTCCACTGCATCTTCCGTGTCCTGGCCCGCAGGGACTTGCCCACCCCTGGGAACAAAAGCGGACCCACTCGCCCTCTCCTGAAGCCGGAGGATGATTCCGGAGAGCTGAGCGGAGAGTGAGGTCCTCAGCTGCTGGAAGGTAGGAGATGGTGTTGCGCCTGCTGCCCCAGGGTGGGAGTCTGAGTGGGTGCGCCGGGCAGGCGAGGGGACCAGCATCCCACTGGTGCTGCCCAGATGGCGAGGTGGTCATCTGGAACGCTGCGCTCTCGCTCCCGTCGCCCTCCCTGGGTAGGAGCCGCGCTCCCCCAGCCGCGAGGGAGCCCCCTGGGTGGGAATGGAAGGCAGCGGAGGAAAAGTCTGCAGCTGAGCCCCGGGCTGTGAGGGCTGCCCGAGGCACTAGGTGATCGAGACTCGCTAAGAAGGGCAGACGCTGCAGTGTGCGCAAAGTTTTGGGCGGAGCAGAAGGCGCAGCGAGGGCCAGGGCGCAGAGCTTCAAGTTGTGGCCAGAGCCGGAGGGCGACCCTGGGGCCCCCCGGTGTAGATCTCGGAGATCGGGGCAAGTAGCTTTTGCTCCCCCAATGCCAGCTGAGGCTGGTGGACGCCCAGCCTTTAACCCTTCCGGCTCTGGGAAACAAGTTCGTCCTGGGCGGAGGCGACTGGACGCAGCTGATGGGCAGCTCCAGGCCCACAGCTCAGTCTGGTGGTCTTGGAGCATGTCCCCGCTCATTCCGGGTTTTCTCTTCTTTCCTGTTTACTTGTGTCCAGAAATCAGACAAGCTTAGCTGGGGGGAATCTTCGCCATCCGCTCCCCCTTCCCCTGCCCCGCAGCCCCCCAGCTGGGCTCTTTGATGCTGCCTTGAAAAATGAGATGATTAATCAATTAGGTTAGTGGCCAATTAGGCATAACCTTGTAGAAAAATAATTATGCCCGCTCCCTGGGCTTTCGCTGGTGATGAAGTGGGAATGCAGCCCAGGTGGAGGGGCTGTTCCTAAAAGATAGGGCTGATCAGGGAATTTCTGGAAATTTAAGATTAACAAGATTTTAATGTGTGGTGGCGGCGGAGGTTGTCTGAGTGCTGTAGGAGTGTGTGTGTGTGTGTGTGTGTGTGTTGTGTATGTGTGTAAAATTTTGCCAAGGAAGTTAACCCTTAACACAGCCTGGGTGGACTTGGCAGGCTGCGGGTTTCCCTCAGCTCAGGAAGGTGTGTCCCAGGCTGCCAGCCCCACCCCTTCCTCTCTGGGGGGCTCTCCCTGTAAATCCCTCTCAGTGGCTTTGCATCTGCTTTGGGAGGCTGAGTTGGAATGAATGCATTTTAGTTTCATGTCGGGGAACCCTGTCGTGGCTGAGGGAGGTTTCTGTGCTGTGCTTTGGAGGACACATTTCTCCTCGCATTAAATAAAGCCCTGGAAGTTCTGCGGCTGAGCGGGGCTTCCTCTCCGTCTTTGGGAGTGCCTGGCGGGTTTGGCACTGCAGTGTTCCAGTACAGCCATATTAAAAGATCCTCAACGCTGGAGCCCTCCACCACCACAGACACCCCTGCTTCAGCCTGCTTTCTGGGAGCATGCAGCAGATGTCTTAAGTGTGCTGTGTGTATTTTAGTCCCTTTCTGTGCCTATTTTAAGCTTCTCTTACCTATTTATACCTCTATACCCTACATAGTGGATTTTTGTTCATGAAGCAAACACCTAGAGCTGTTCTCAGAGCAGAGGGATTTTTGCAACAGGTCCCAGGTCTGGGTTTTCTGCTAATGGGTTCCCCTGGCATTTGGTAACCTGGGACCCCAGTCTCTCCTTTAGTGATTGATCAGGTTGGACCAGGGTCTCTGAGCTCCCCTGCAGTGCTGACATTAGCTGGTTCTGAGTTTTATGGCTTGTCTTCCCTTTGGAGCTGAGCTGGAGGAGCAGCTGAGCAGAGCAATGTGACAGCAGCAGTGGCACATCATTCCCTGTGGGAAGGGATGGGACTGGCAGGCTGGGGCTTATTAGCACATAGGAATCACCCAGCCATAAGGCTGCCTGGTGATGCTGGTGTCCAGGGACCACTGGGAGCCATGGGCTCCATCCTACTTTCTTAAAGTGAAGGGCCACCATTCAGCCCTTCTCTTTTCCAAGATGATTTTTTCCTTGAAGCTGGACTCAGTCAATCACCTTACTGTGACCATATTTATCAGCCAAACTCTTATACTAGCAAAGACCTTGTTCTATATCTAACATTGAAGCTTTTTAATATAGTGGGAAGGGATATGGGGGGAGAGGAAAAGAAAGAGGGAAAGAGGAAGAGGTATGGAGGGGCAGCAGTAAGAGAAATATAGAAACATAGATAGCTTAAGACTTCAAATACAGCCAGATTGGGAAGGAGGTTGGAGAGACAGAGAATGAGAGAAGAGGAGAAGGAGGAAGAAGGCAAGGAAAAGGAGGAGGAGGAGAAGGAGACACAGGTAGTAAAGGGAAAACAGAGAAGAGAAGAGAAGGACCCACATGAAGCAAGGTCTTACCTATCATATGTCTTGAAGAAAATGTAAAGGAAAACCCCAAACTGCCAAAGACTCATTTCAGATAGACTTGCTTTTAACTCAGCTTTCATGTAAAGGGCAATTACTTATGAAATGGACATTGCACCACACAAAGCCATTAACTCGGTTTCTCGTTTCTTCCTTGAATGGGGACTCCCGTCATTGGGGTTGGAGTTCGGAAGAGATCTGTCTGCTTAGGAGATGTGCTTTGCTTTGCCCCAGAGCATACTCCTCTTTGGGCCATGTTGGGGCTCTCCAATTGGACAGGCTGGGTATTGGAACAACTTTGGAGAGGAGACTTTTGGTTTTTAGATCTGTCTTCCATAGAATGGATGACTTTTTAAAAAGTGTATTTTTAGTTTATTTATCCTTGAAGGAAAAAAGAAACATGAGGGATGGTGTAGTAAACACTCTTACCTGCCACCTAGAACTGAGTGATGAGAAAAGGATTCCAATTTATTTTCTCCTCTCCACCTCTTTGTCCCCATTTTGGACCATCCTCAGAGCCTCTTGACTCATCTCCTGGCCTCCAGTGTGGGCTTGGCATCACCTTCCTAAAACATCGCTTTCATCATGTTACTCCCTAGATCAGAAAATGTAAATGTTTCCCTCTGCCTAAAGCATATCATTCACATCTCTGACCATCGGCCTCCAGGCCTTTTGGAGCCTGGCTTTCTACTTCTCTTCTAATGGGCTTCACAGACACACACGCACAGCATCATATACTCTCACACATATGCACAAACAAACACACACACACACACACAAACTCACACCCTCTCACACACAAGCAGCACACACCCTCACACACACACTTGTACACACATAGACAAACTCACACCCTCTCTCACACTGCATCATACACACACACGCACACACACATACACACACAGACAAATTCACATCCTCTCCCACATACAGTTTCACACACCATCACACACACACCTTTAATAGGAGAAAAAGTCTGGCTGTTAAGGATGGTAAGGCTGCTTCCTAATTCTCCCCGTCTGCATATCTAAAGCATTACACATATCCTCACAGACATACTAGTACACACATACCCTCACATACACTCACACACACTCATATGCACACTGCACTTATATCATCTGCACACCACACCATGCCTTTTATACCTTGGCAGGTATAACATTTCTACTCTTTTACCTGACAAACTACTCATCCTTCGGGATTCATCTCAAAAGCGACATCCACTCAGAGTTCCCTTTCCCTCAGTGAGCTTGTGTTTCCTTAACCCTCTGACACCCTCTCTTGAAGAACTTTTATAATTCTTCATCAGTTCTTCTCCCTATAGATAGTAGTAAGTTATCCCCCTTCCAAGTGGGGATAACTTATGCACCTCTTCAGTCTCAGGGTGTAACAGTGCTTGGCACAAGGTGCATGGTTGACATTTATTGGATATATTCATTTTAAGATCTTCTAAAGGTTGATTAACATTCATGACATCTTGTTCACTTATTTTATCTTACTCTTAGTTTTCTTTTTCTTTCTTTTGGTTGAAAATAATACAGGCTTTAAAAACTTCAAATGGTATAGGAGTATGTAAAAAGTGACAATCTTCCCTAGCTGGTTTGGCTCAGTCGATAGAGTGTCAGCCTGTAGACTGAAGGGTCCTGGGTTTGATTCTAGTCAAGGGCACATGCTAGGGCTGTGGGCTCAATCATCAGTAGGAGGCATGCAGGAGGCAGCCAATCAATGATTCTCTCATCATCGATGTTTCCATCTTTCTCTCCTTCTCCCTTTCTCTCTGAAATAAATATATATATTTAAAAAAAGTGACAATCCTTTTCCCCATCACCCCTAAATATCCTTTATTTTTTAATGCACATGTTGTTAAATATTGAATTTCTTCTTGACCTTTGTTTTATGTCTTATTTTCTAACTAGTTCATATGCAGGGGTCATGCAATATATATCTATGTTTGTCCCAATAATGCCTAATACCGTGCTGTACATGTAATATGTGTCCAGCAAATATGAAATACTGGTTGGGTTCATTTTTAAAATTATGTTAAATAAATGGCTTCACTAATTTTCACTATAGCCCTATGTGATTGGTGCTATAATCCTTATTTTACAGATAAAGAAAGTTAGGTTTCAAGAGGTGAGAGGCCAGGTCAGAGAGGGGTCTGGATTCAAACCCAGATCTCCTTTATTTTATTGCCTCTGCTCTTTTTGCTCTACTCCATAAGTGGTGTGTGGGTACTTAGGGTAAAAGCGTCTAACTCAACTTTATATACCTAATACTTGCTCAGAGCTTCACAGTTGTCCTTCCAATGAGGTATCATTATCCTTTTCCAGATGAGAAAAGGGAGCACATGTGAGAAACTAATGTGAGTTTTTAAAAAACACTGTCATTAAAAAACAACAACAACACTGCTTTGAGTCATTTATTATTTGGTGACTATCCTTTCATTTATCTCTTTAGGCATATGTACTGGCATATGTAAATTGACATAAATTTACATCTATGCCAAATCCTTAGAGCTGGGAAGAAGTGGAATGTGTGAATCCAGGCCTTTGGGTCCAAGGCTCACTTCCTATTCTTAGATATAAGAGTTGATCTCAGAGCAGGGTAGGGACTTACTGGACAGAAGTCTGGCTGG